GACTTTCGGTGCAAGGTAGACTTTTGGTTTATTTTCTTCTTTTTCTTCTGCCTGCATACATTTTATAGATTTTCGAAATGCTTCAATGATTTGCCATTGTCAGGGACGTTAACTTGTGGCGGTCGGTAGGTAGGTTGGTCGGTCGGTCGGTCTGTCTGACTTGCTTTCGTTTTCAAACGGAAGTTATTTAACTTAGTTTTTAATGATTTTCTTAAACTGAAGACAACAGTCAGCCAACCCACAACATCCTCTGGGTTATGGTTAGGTTATGTGGTTAATTTTGAAAACAAATCTGATTTTTTGAAAATAAGTTAATTTTTTTCGTTTGGAGAAGAAACCAAAATCTTATAACTTGAAACGCCCACCTGAGGATGTTGGGAATATTATGATATGCTGCTTTGTCAATTTTCTTAATTAAAAAAAAAATGTGGGGTCACCGTCAATGCCATTGTCTCCAGAGGTTTTAATGAACATTTTATGCGACTTTATTTTTAAACTACTGATCTTCTACTGAAAATATCAGATTTTTATTATCAATCATCTGCACATCATGGCTATATATAGGCCATTTACAGCCTTTTGTTCTTCTTTTCATTAAATTGAGGAGCAGTTTTTAAATATTTTCATTTTCTCAGAATAATTTTAACTCATTATTTCCGTACATAAATTGCGGCCATTTAAAGAACACACAGATTATATAGACATGTACATAAGTACATAAATATTTATGTACATACTTCCTAGGCAATCATTATTATTGTTGTTGTTGTAACCATCCATATTGTATGGGTGTCAAAATTTGCCAAAGGCTTTTATTTGTCTTTCCAGTCATCCAGCCACTGTTGCAAAATCTCTTTAGGGCCCCGCAAACACACACACACGTTAGCTCGCGAAACTGTCACGCTTTATTGAAGGTGTCAGCGTTTTGTAGTTTCCCATTGTAAGCGTGTGAACGTCAATAACATTTGATTATTGTCAGTCTGTTAGGCTATTTATGATTGTGAGCGAACTTCAAGTTAAAGACTGAAGAAATTTATTTAAAAATAAAAATATGGAGAATCATTTAAAAGGAGGGGTAAAATTTTCAAAATTTCGGAATTGTTGACATAATCGAACTCAAAGTTAAACAATATTTAAGGAGTGAATTTTTTAAAGGGAAATTTTAAGAATGATTTATTTAAAAAAAATTGTAAATGAGGATTTTTTTTGATATTTTTTATAAAATTTTACAGAGTTAAAAAAATTCACCGATGACCTTTTATACCCTACACTATGTTGTCAGAGTATTATAGATTTGTGCAGCCCCAAGAGTTTGCAACGACACGAAATATTGGTCCTAGACCCACCTTTAAGTATACCGATCATCATATATCGACTAGCTGAGTCGATCTAGACATGTGTGTCCGTCCGTCCGTCTGTCCATTATAATTTGTTAACAATATAAAGGCCACAGTTATGGACCAATCTTCACAAAATTTTGCATGTAGTATGGGTTCTGGCCAATGGAGACCCCTAGTGTTTTTGATAATGATCAGTTAATATTTAGGGGACGAAATGGACCAAAAACTTTATTTTTGTCCGAACACCGAATTTTAAAGGGAGAAGGGGATTGGGCCAAAGAATAAGCATGCCTGTTTTGATAAAGATCGGTCAATATTTAGGGGGTCAAATGGTCACTGATTTTGGTGTGAAAAATTACAAAATTTGTATTCTATAGGGAATATATTTACTCCTGAAGGACATATACCCGAGAAGTTGATAGTATATCCAAGAAGAGTGGTTGACCTTTAAATTGATACCAATTATATTGTCGTATGTACTCGGATGTGGGAGTTACACTTAAACATTTACAGGTCCATACGTATTCATATACTATTTAGTAACCCCATTACCACACAAGAGGGCGGAAATATATCGCTGATCGATTTGAAATGTTTGATGAGGTTCCAGTTATGGTCAAGCACAACGCCTATAATTTTCTAGTCGAATATAAGCCGAACATCACAACTCAACCCACCGTGAAGGGAATCTGGACAAGTAGTTAGAAGGGCTCTACTGAATATTAGTAATATTCGGAAAATATTTCAGAGTAAGGTAGTTGTGTAGGGTATCGTATGTTCGGCCCCGTCCGACTTGAAACTTTTTTGATACTACGAAAGCAAGCGTGCAAATAAAAATTGAGTTTGCACTTTTCTCCCCCACGTTGGGCGCCATTTATGTAATAAAATCGATAGCAAAGATAAATTTTTTCTGTAATGATGAGGTAGGGGATCTTTGGGTATAGGAATAATTTTTTGATACTAGGAGAGCAAGCGTATCAATAAAAATTTAATTTGTAATTTTGTTCAAAATATTCCCCACGTTGGGCGCCATTTATGTAATATAATGGATAACAAAGCTAAAATTTTCTGTAAGGATGAGATAGGAGATCTTTGGGTAAAGGGGCGATTTTTTGATACTAGGAAAGCAAGCGTACCAATAAAAATTTAATTTGTAATTTTGTTCAAAATCTCTCTGACGTTGGGCGCCACTTATGTAATAAGATCGATAACAAAGCTAAAAATACCCATCATTGTCCGCCATTTAATTTCTGGACAGAAATAAAATCCCATGAAACAATATTTTTGGCTTACGTATGATCGGCCCCGTCCGACTATACTGCTCCGCTCACTGGTTAAGTATATTTTTTGAAGAAAATTTACATTCTTTTAAATATTGATTTGATTTTTATTTTATTAAAATGTTCGTCGTGGATGAAAAACAAATGCAATAGGCTGGCTTGGATATTTGAAAAATATTAATTAAAATTCTAATTTTCATATATATTTTTATTGATAAAAATCAATTGGGCGCCATATTCAGAGGGATTTAGAAAACGTGAATTTATATAATTTTTTTATAAAAATTTAAACCTTTTTCTTTAAAAATTTAAATTTAAGAAATATTTTTAATAAAACTCTAAGTCGTGAATTAAAAAAAAATGGGGGAATTTCATTTGTCGATTTTTTAATTTTTTTCCAATTGTTGAGTAGATTTTTTGAAATTTATCCAATCCCTACAAATTTCCCTTTTCCCCACAACGCCGAAAAAAATCAATTTGAATTTTATTATTTGAAAAAAAGAAAGATTTTATGGCCAGCAAACCACAACAAAATCGAACAACGATGAACCAAAACCTCGAAAGACAACAACGGCAGCAAAAATATAACAAAGAGAAAAAACAACAACATTTCATTTCATGGTTTTTTACATGTTTATGGTCCATTGTCACGTTCCGACATTCACTTGTACGTCTGCAAAATTATAAAGTGTTTACCGAAATTGTAGTAGTTGTATTCGTGTTTAACCAAATCGCCCTTCTCTTGCCCCTTCACAATTACATGCAACAAAATTGTTGCAAAAAAAACAGAAAAATAAACCACAAAGATCCAACCAAAACAGAAAAAAAACAATGGAGGAGATTGTTATGGCCGAACGTCGACGTCGCCACAATCAAGAACATGATGCCAATGATCCAATTACAGTGATCTCATGAAAATGAAAAACAACAACAAAAATTATTAGATTTATTCCAAAAAAATTGAACATGGCCAATTGACTGACTGCCTGCCATTTTTGTCTGTTTTTTGTTTTTTTCTTTCCTTTCATTTTAAAGTAACAAAAAAATTACATCAAAATCTGCAGATTTCATCAGTCGTCAAGTTTTTTGGTGGCAGTAGTAGTAAACTGCCGTTCCAGATGATGACGATGATCATCTTCATCAAACGGGTTTTTTTTTTATTTTCCATGGTTTCCTTTAAAATCCGCATTTATATAAGTTTGAAATTATTATCTTTTCGGTATGACTGACTGAATGGCTGGTTGAGTGACTGACCACTCACTGAAGGAATAAAAAATGTTTTATGGCAGGTGATCTTCAGTTAAAATAACAACAAAAAAATAAAAGCAAACCATTGCATGATATTATCTTTAGTAGTAGCTTTAGTCGGTTAATTTCCAACCGGGGAAACAAGTAAGTCGTGGTCTTCAGTAGAAATTTTTCTTCGACAATTAGATAAATGCTTTCTGTTGTTGTTGTTTTTGTATTTTGTGTACAACAATTTAATATTATTTTTGTAAATGTAGCAATTATTCCTGTACAAAGTCCACAACAATGTTGCCATACGGCCAGTAATTTTTCGGTAAGGATGAGGTAGGGGATCTTTGGGTAAAGGAATGATTTTTGATACTAGGAGAACAAGCGTGCCAATAAAAATTGAATTTGCAATTTTTTTAATATCCCCCACGTTGGGCGCCATTTATGTAGTAAAATGGATAACACAGCTAAACATTTTTCTGTAAGAATGAGGTGGGAGATATTTGGGTTAAGGAATCATTTTTTGATGTTGGGGAGAGCAAGCGTACCATTAAAAATGGAATTTGTAATTTTGTTCAAAATCTCCTCCAGGTTGGGCGCCATTTTGTAATGAAATGGATAACAAAGATAAAAAATACCCATCGTTGAGCAATAGTATTTCTGGCTTAATTTGGGCACCATTTATATTTAGATCTAAATTAAATTCCATGCCGGTTTACCCATGTCCGTCTGGTTCGATATTTCCCGATAGAGATCACAAATTTTGTGAACATTTGAAACAACAGAAATTCAATTTCCAAATCTTCCAGAATTATGTCTATTTGGATGTCAATTATAAAAAAAATCTCCTCTAATTTGTCGCACCATGTTGGGTGCCATTTTTTTAAATTTTAACATTTTGTAAATTTAAACACCAAGGACTGAACCACCTCAGATTCGTATATTTTATCAAAATATATTTCTCAAGGCTCTAAAAACTATCATTGCCCTTTCCTTAAAGTTATTCTATGTTCTTAATATTTTCTAAATATTAACCTTCACGTTTTTTTACTGCTATCAAATGTCAATCACATATTTATTAACAATTAATCAATAATTTTTCACACACACACACATGTGGACGTACGCTGTCGCAAACACTCACCTGTATCACTCGCATCGGCAGACCCGTTTCTTTGGCCAGCTGTTCCCTGATGTGGCGTGTCGGTTTCGGTGTTTGGTTAAATGCAGTTTTCAGTACTTCCAATTGTTTGGCTTTGATCGTTGTGCGCGGACCTCTTCGCTTTGAACCGTTGGCATCGTCAGGACTTTTGTTTTCAGCCTGGGAATCACCTCTCGCATCGGGATCGCCATCTAAGGAACCCTATAACGAAATAAAGAAACGAAACTTTTTAGATTCAAACCAAACACACACGAGTGTCGGACTCTCTTCAAATGTCCATTTGGCACTTGTGTGTTGTGTTCCGCACATAACAACACCAAAAAGTGATGATAAATAAAAATCAAATTTGTTTGGTAATTGTTTGGCAAACATCATTAATCATTTGAAGGTTTTGGAAGATGATCAATGTTTTCTGCAGTTCTCTGATTTTTATTGGATGTCCGTTTTTTCTGCTTTTTTTGGTTCATTAGGTTTTGTATTTCATTGCAGTTAAATTTGTTGCTGTTGTTGTTGGCGGCATTTTGCCTATTTTTTTGTGTAGACTTACCTGATCCGAATCGTCATGGGTATTTTTGCTGTCGGTGCTCATGCTTTGTACTGAAATATCTGATGCTCCCAATGGTCCACCTGCTGAGTCTGGGCCATTTGGTCCCAGCATACCCAAACCCAGAGGGGGCCCGCGTAAATGTGGCGGATCATCATCATCGTCTTCATCTTCGCTAGCTGAACCCATTATGGAACCTGAAACGAGTTACAATCAGAAAAAAGGAAGAAATGAAAAATCAAATGAATTATGGAAATTTGTTGTTGGTCTCTAGCCCATCTTTCCATGGGAAAAATATTAAAAACGAAAACTGTTTCCTAATTGTTTAACAAGCTTATGCTACGATACCATTCAAAAATATTCAAAAACACTGGGCGGCGAGCGTCGTTCTCAGCCAATTTTTTGCCTTGACGATTTATTGGAGCATTTACTTTTCATGTCGTTGTTGTTGTTGTGTATGCCATGTCCTTCGATTATTTTAAGCTAATCTGAAACGCCTGGCATAACTGGGTGGTTTTTGTTTGCCCTAATGTTGTTCAAATGAAGTTGAATTATAGTACGTCTTGTTGTTGTAACAAGTAAGTGGTTAACTTGCAAAGCAGTTAAAGATTTGTCCGTTTCATACCCGCCACGTGTCATTGCGGGTGCAAGATGTAATGCTTGCGGTAGTGGCACAATGGTGGGAATTTTTGTAATATGTTGAGGATGCTTTAACACTCTTGGAATTTATTATGTTAAAGAAAAATCACAATAAATGTCGGCCTTACGTTGGGCGCCACTTTATAATTAGTTTTAAATAAATCTTGGGATATTTTTATTTTAAATAATAGAAATCAAAATAATTTGTAGACTGTCGACCGGAGAAAAATGTGGATCTCACATAGGGAGCCAATTTAAACTAGGCTTTAAATAAGACATACAATATAATTATTGAACATACATAAGTCCACAGCACCCCAGAAAAGCCCGAAGAAAAAATTATTTGAATTATTTATTAAGTAAAACATACAATGGTCCCGCGTTGGGCGCCATATATTACCAAAGAGGCTCCAAGGATAATATTAAAAAAATACCAACAAAGAATGAAAACAATCGTTTATATATATTTCCATCACGTTGGGCGCCATTTATTTATTTTTAATGTCCGTTTTTTTTAATTAAAATAGAAGTGAAAGAATGTCGAGAAATTATAAATGAATAATAAACAGTGGTTTTAAAAGGTTCAAATAGTCTGACAGTTTATTATTTACGTTGGGCGCCATTTATAACCCCATAAGTAATCAAAACTGGAGCACATGAAGATGATTTTGTCAATAGCTGGAATAACACTGTTTTTTATTGTGCAAAGGGATCTCTTAAATATCTGAGTTCCACGTTGGGCGCCATTAGCTTTTTCTTAAGAAATAAATAATTCATATATTTTATAAAAAAAATTGCGATAAAATAAAGACGAACCCCCAAAAAAACCCTATATTATTTCAATCATAGAAGTTGTATGACCCATTTTGGGCGCCAATAATAATGTCGTACTTCGATGGGTCTTTATTAAAAATTATTTTTGAGGAGCTATTTATGATTTAGAGTAATTAACATAGGTTTTAGGAGGCTCATTTAGTCCGGTTGTAGGGAGTTGATTATTTACATTGGACGCCATTTATATTCAAAAAAGTAATAAACACTGGAGAATAAGAAATGTAGTCTCTGATAGCTTGAAGAACATTTCATCAAGCTTGAAGAACATTTCATTAGGTGGCGCCCCGTTGGGCGCCACTCAAACACTCCAAGGGAAGTAATTTTTCTTAGGGCATAAATAACGTAGTTTCTTTGGAGAGTTATATGATGATGTAAAATAAAAATTACATATGAGTCTCACGTTGGGCGCCACTAGCAATATCTATAAAATACTACAAAATTCGAAACCCTAACAACCTGTGTGAATCACTGTAAAAACAACAAGCTAAAATAACCTTCTATCATCCGCCGTTCTTTTGCCACCTATGAGTTCCTGAGAAATCCCTTTGTTTTCTCCGTGGAACCCACTGTGCTATCACTTAACACCACTCGTTCACAATAAGCCCTAAATGGCTTTCCTGCTACACACACTCACTCAGAAAAATTTTAAAAAATCACAGAAAACTTCAACTGCAGATAACTGCTATTGGATGCGGACGGCGTAATGGCCCGGCCACATGCCTGGCATTTTGTCGCCACGTGTCATCATTCATTTTACATTTCCGAGCATCCCATTCACTTCGTCATTCATTCATTTGCTTGTAATCGTTATATAATTTGATTCATGGCTGTGATCCCATAACTTAACAGGATCAAATGGCAGGCTAGACAGGATGAAAGAACACTGACACACGTTATCAATTTGTGTCGGAGTTTATTTAGCCAATATGCAAAAAAGAAGTAAGTAAAGACAAAGATGAAGCGTGGGATGTGACACACGTTGGAATTTGTAATGGATGTTGTTGTTGTTTTAAATTGCATTATAAAAATTTTGAGAAAGCAGTTCGTCTCAAATCAGCTCAATAGAAATGTATTTAACATATCCCCAAGGGCATTGTTGTACAACATATTTAAATAAATACGAAATGCGTTGAGAAGTCTGAGAAAATACCCAAGGGAAAATCTTAGTCGTGAAGAGGTTGAATATGGTAACATATTTTGAGAAGAAATTAAAGTTCGACCAAGATTTAAAAAAATCGGCACTTCGTAAATAAAGACGTAAATACATAGCCTAAAATCAGATCTTCATTTCATAGAAAAAATTATTGATTTCTTAAAATATTTTTTGTTTAAGTAATTTGCTACAAGGATTCCGAAAAGTAAGGCACATGACTTTTCATGACCTTCGTTGGGCGCCAGTAAGAAATATGTATTCTTAACACATGATTTATTATATATGAGACATCAGTTTTGAGGGATCAGTCTGGGCAGAAATGTGCTTTATTTTAAAGCTTGCGAAAATAAACACTGGTTTTAAGGCTCTCAAGTAGTCTGACAATAGGCGGGTTATCAATTCGGGCGCCAATTATGCTCTCACAAAAAATCTAAAGCCGTTTCCTTCAGAAGTGGTATAAACTGGTAAAATAATTATCTGAGCCCCACATTGGGCGCCACTAGCAACTTTAAAACAAAATGCAAAAAATGCATAAATTTTGTTATAATTTTTTTTAAATGCCGTTGGGCGCCACTCTGTTAATTTATAAAGCATAAATGACATGTTTGAAATATTGATTGAAAATAGTTTCATTTAATGATTATTTGTAGTGTTTATTTCCCTGACAGGTGACATGTCACCTCAAACCTTTCCAAAACTTACTCATTCCTTATATATTTTTAAGGTAAACTATTTTTGTTTTTGTGGCGAACCCTCCACAACATTTTGTCATCCATCATCTGACCTTGCACGTAATTTGGTTCATATGTTCGTTTTTCTAACTTCGTCAACGTCGTCGTAGATTTGCTCTATTTTTCATGACAAAATATTTTATTTCATTGGCCCCGTGATGCCGCCACTAGTGTCGGTGCAACTCACATCAACACTCATAAATAATTGATAACTTAACGTGCAAAATATACTGCAGAGGATGCTGTGTCAGCGATGAGTCCCTTATTGGGCTAGAGTTATGTTCGGTGGTGGTTTTCAAATTCCATACCATTCTGTTTCTTACACTTGCCATTCGAGACTCATCTGTTGTGGATTAGATTATGGTATCATAAAGTGTAATTTATTATTGGATTCGTCGTTGTCGCTCCCATGTGGGTATGTGCGCCCCTGTCTGTTTGTATGTCAAGCACATTGTAAATAAAATGTGATTTCAACAAATGTTCAGATACAAAAAAAAGTGATTCGACAAGAAAACGGAATTTAACCTTGTTACAAAGATAAGTATTCCGTTTCGATTAAAGCTTTCCCCGTTTACAAACAAAGGCCACAGAATTCCCCAGTCGAAGGTTAAATGCTGCAGCTAGCTCAAGAGTCCCTGGAGAGTTTTCATCTGTGCGTGTGTGCAGCTTTTCAAATGTCTGGAGGGTTAGGTTGAGATTTGTTTGAGATTTATTGCCAAAATATGTGTAAACGTGTGTGGGTGTTTGGTTTTCTATTTTTTTATTGAATGGGAGTTTCTGTCGAGTTTTAAAGTTGAGCAGGTGATGATGATAAATGCATGACAATGAAGGCCAAGGGAAGATATAATTAATAGGAAAAATGTGCACGATTTTTATATCTGTGGAGGACCTATGGACCGAAAAACCCACGCCTGTTAAGGGTCCTTGAAAAATATTTTTTACAAATCCACGCCTGTTAAGGACCCTTGAAAAATATTTTTTACAAATCCACGCCTGTTAAGGACCCTTGAAAAATATTTTTTACAAATCCACGCCTGTTAAGGACCCTTGAAAAATATTTTTTACAAATCCACGCCTGTTAAGGACCCTTGAAAAATATTTTTTACAAATCCACGACTGTTAAGGACCCCTGAAAAATTTTTACAAATCCACGCCTGTTAAGGACGCTTGAAAAATCTTTTTTACAAATCCACGCCTGTTAAGGACGCTTGAAAAATCTTTTTTACAAATCCACGCCTGTTAAGGACGCTTGAAAAATCTTTTTTACAAACCCACGCCTGTTAAGGACCCTTGAAAAATATTTTTTACAAATCCACGCCTGTTAAGGACCCTTGAAAAATATTTTTTACAAAACCACGCCTGTTAAGGACCCTTGAAAAATATTTTTTACAAATCCACGCCTGTTAAGGACCCTTGAAAAATATTTTTTACAAATCTACGCCTGTTAAGGACCCTTGAAAAATATTTTTTTACAAATCCACGCCTGTTAAGGACCTTTGAAAAATATTTTTTTACAAATCCATGCCTGTTGAGGACCCTTGAAAAATATTTTTTACAAATCCACGCCTGTTAAGGACCCTTGAAAATTATTTTTTACAAATCCACGCCTGTTAAGGACCCTTGAAAATTATTTTTTACAAATCCACGCCTGTTAAGGACCCTTGAAAAATATTTTTTAAAATATTCTGAAAAAATATTTTATTTATTTAAAGAATGAATGTCGTTCAATTTCATGTAAAGGAGACCTCATTTTTCAGGTTGCCTCGAAAGTTGTCATTTAGTTCCGAATTAGAGATGGTAATATCGAACATATATCCAAAGGGTCTATGGTA